TGCCGTTTTACCCCGCTATTCCTCCCCGCGGAATTGCTAGAATTTAATTTGATTCGCTGTTCTGTGCTCGGGTGATACTCGCGACGTCAAATTTTGAACGAGAATAGCAGACGGAAAGAAAACACTTTGTGTCTTTATTAAATTTTACGTCCGGAGTATCGGTAAGCATCGTTACTAGCTTTTCGAATTCCAGTCGAATTTATCGGAGAATGTTTTTACTCGAGGTCGCAAAAACGGCCGCCGTTCGACGCTCTCTTTCCCGAATATCGAACTGATACCTTTCTACAAGCCGCTGATTTATGGAGACATGTCGCTGAAAAAACACGTTAGTCAAAGATAGGAGAAAAAAAATAGATCGCTGCCGGCTCGATATTTATTTCTGATCCACGGGCTATTAATTTTCCGAAAAGTGTCCGGTGTCGTGTTCAAGCTAGTTCTCTTCCGAAAGAAGCTCACGTCGATATAATTTAATGTTCATATCGGAAAGCAAGAGAAATGGCACCCGTACCCTTATTCCGTCGCTGTGTCGTGCAATTTTGCAAATCTTTCAATGGCACGTGACCAGATAGGCGAGGCGATAAAAAAGGGACAATGCTCGCAATCGATGAAGCTATTGTAAGAGCTGACGTAACCATCTACCGACCAGCCTTTTGCGGAATCGCCCGCATAAGCGAAAACCGGATCCCCGTCGGCCATCATGCGAAATGTTGCAAAATTCTGACCCTTTGAGCCTCGTGCTGTATCACCGATTTCGCGATTCTGGTTTCTTGTTCATGATAAACCTCGTGGTCCTGAATCAAATAGACTAATAGCAGAACTTTTAATACAATGTAAAGATCGTTGAACTTCATAAAAATGTTTTTTTTTTATGACATTCAATAACATGGAAACGAAATTGGCTTAGTATAGAATCGACGATCGTGGATCAAAGAAGCATGTTTCTGTCCGGAGGAAAAGATGAAAAATAGGAAACTGCCGATTCAACCCTTCTATCTCTCTATCCAAGGCTTTCTAGATCATCTCGCAAAGATGCTTCGAACAATCATAAATCACAAAAGAAAGGGGTGGCTGACAAAGGTGTTGAGCGGGGGGGGGGATAGGAGAAGAGGTAGAGCGTAGATAGATAAAGGGAGAAAGAAAGGAGGAGATATTCAAAGGGTGGCAAGGGGTGAGCGCCACTTCCACCGCTTTTCTTCCATGAAATTTTTCCATCGTTCGTATCAGCATCGTCTCTCTCTCTATCTATCTATCTATCTGTCCGTCTATCTATCTCTCTATCTTTGGTGTGATTAAGACATTTCTATGGTCGCCCCGAATTATTGTCGAATGAAATGGCGCGAACACGCTTGGCTGAGAGGAATAGGGAAGAATATCGGAGAGTTTCCACTTGATGTTTCCATTGCCGCGAAAGGGCTCTGTAATTTCTGCTGGAAGAGAAGGGAAATTATCCACGGCTAATATTTAACTTACTCTATTCGACTGTTATAATTGGACTCTTTTTGTTTTCGATATCCGAGTATTCCTGTAGTTAGTAATAACCAGTACACTTCAACTATTCTGTACTAGAAGAATGTCTGAGAAATTCTCAAATGAAATATCACGGTACATTTCTGTAATTCTTTCGAGCATTTTATTACGCTCTCGAAAGTTTCCCGTTTCTCGACAAACGCGAACTTCGGTTTACAGCTATAATTATCCGCGGGTGAAAAAAGTCATTCGTTGGACAAACAGGGTAGTATAAAGTCGAAGTTGCCGCGCGAAAAAACGAGCTCTCGACGCGAATATACACGTGGATCGAAAAAGTCGCCGGTCAGTCTGCGACTCGAAACTGCCCTGCACCCCGAATATACGACATTACATTACCACCGCCGAAGCTAGAAGTCGTCCCATTGTTTCTTACCGACTAACATGGAGAAGAAGCCACGCAACTTCCCCTGAAATTCCATCTGACCCGCAAAAGAATCGTTACATTGAATTAAAGTCGAATAAAACGGCGCGTTTCGAAATCCGCTCGAACTCTAGTCGGAGGGGGGGAACAGACAACGAGGCTCTTTCGCGATTTTATCGCAGGATACTGGCGAAACAACCACGAAGATCTAACGAGGCACTTTTCCATCGATTGGATGACGTGCATTGTACCGAATTTCCACTTTATGAGACTGGTAGACGCAGGACCATCAGGAACATATCGACAAAGAATAGGAAATAAGGATACGTCTCGAGATATAATCATATTATCTTCGTGTAAGCAGAGAATCGTGTGCATCGATGTGAATTAATTAAAAAAATTCTTATTCGGTTCGGTTAAGCAACGAGCGGGATACAGTATGAAAAGGATGATTTATCCAAGAACGCACTCGTACTACACACGTAGCTCGTGTAGCTTGATTAAACTCCGTCGGGGATCGGTTCACTCGCCGAGGGGGAATTTCTCGTGGTTTAATAGAGCGCAAAGAGTTTCTTCAGCGCACTTTTCAACTGTCCGTACGGTTCTCTTCCCCCCCGACCCGAGTCTGGTTTACGCTACGCGCCGTCTTGAAAGCAGAGTAAAATAAATTGAACGAAATCCCTTAGACAAATTCCTCCTTGGTATCTGAGGACCGTAACGGTAGCCACCGGCCAATACGTTTGTCGAACGGGTAGCGAAAAACGGAATGTCGGCCAATCCGTCTTCTGTCCCCATACGGGATCATGAATGGAAAAACAGCTGCAAAACAAAAATTCGTGATTTATCATTCCCGTTGTATTGTACCATCCGAACGGTTTTTGGGAATAATTTAGAACCGACACGTGAATGTGAAAGCAACGCGTTGATAAAAAAAAGAATATATATATACATATATATATATATATATATATATATATATATATATATATATATTGTTTGGTTGGAATAATATCTACACAGATATTTGTTACGATTCTACGGACGCAAAATGTTCCGAAAACAATGCGCGTTCACGCTGAAATTTTAATGAAACGTTAACCATTTCGCGTCATCGAGCAACCACCGTGTGCTTCTCGCCGAATCATTTATACGCGTCACTGTGCACGCGCGATGTAGCGTTGCAAATGATTTTGGAAACGTAAAAACAAACGAATAAATTTCAGTTTTACAAGGCTTGGCGGCGAGCTCCAGAGGTGTACGTACACTACCGTGTGTCCGTGCACGGTGTTTGCGGCGATAAATTCCGGTCTGCGTAAAATGTAAATTCTCGCGACAAAGCCTCCAGATTCACGGGAACTTCCTGTTCTAGGGGGCCAATGAGAAACATTGAATATCGCGTGGCTTGAAGCACGGCGACACGGCAGCTAGACGTGCGGCCGCGCAAAATGAAAATTTTCCCTGATCTCCACCGGCAGCTACGCTCTCTCTCTCTCTCTCTCTCTCTCTCTCTCTCTCTCTCTCTCTCTCTCTCTCTCTTTTCTTTGGACTAAAAGGAAAATATTTTCCTGCGGTCCGTTTTCATCTCTTTACATACGAACATCATCTATTATGGTAAATGAATCACGGACCCTTTCAATTAAGTCCCGAGTACACATACTATAGGCAACATTTACCTTTCTTCGAATAAACATCCTTAAATGACACACGCTCAATTAGCGGTTCTCCTCGATTGAAGCATTAAAGATTCATCGCGTATCTCGAACGAGAGATATACACGAGAATTTTGTTAATTCACGGATCTAGATCGTGGAGTAGTTCCTCGGTAACTAAAACCGATAACTGATATTAAACGATGAATGCACGGAGAAATGTGTTCCGTGTACCGGAAACGGCGGAAACAAAATTGAAAGCACTTCGAATTTAAAAAAAAAAAAAATGGGAGTGGGAATTTATCGTCGCAATCGACGTCACGGAATCGCTCTCCATGGAGACGGTTCGACCGTCGTTTAGAATCTACTCACGCGCCGATCTCGGGGATTGAATATGGACCATCGAAATTTTTCCTGGTCGCCCACAATACTGGCCCTCTTTCTCTCGATGTGCACACGTTTTCCCTCGTGCGACATTCCTAGTCATTCGTGATGTGGCTGGCCAGAGAGAGGGCTAAACGAATTCGTCGAGTCGAATAGTTCGCCAACAAAAATGCCGCACCCACCCCGTCCCTTTTGTCACCCTCGATATGTGTCTGCTCGCAATTAATTCACGGTAATTTCCCGGGCGGACTTGTAATGAAGCGCGCAGCGACGTGCGCTTGACAATGAGCGGCCCGGAGTTGTTCGTTCCGTAAATTTTCACTGTAACGATTATTTATTGCCGCCAGATTGGCAATTACGCTTGTCACGCGGGCACGTGAATCATACAGCGAACGATTTGAGACGTTAAAAATGGAACCGAATCGGGGGCCAGGAACAAAATTTCTGGGCGCACAGCTGTTCGGGAAATCTGTTGCTAAATACTTGAAATCTAAAGAGAATGTAATTGAACGTTCTTTTTATCCTGTTTTTTTTTTTAAATCGTTCGTATGTGTAGTAAAAATCGACGAACTAAATTATATTTTTAAGCACATAAGCTGTGTTGTCGATAATCCGTTAAATTGACGAAGTTTGACGATTTATTTTATAACATTCTATACACTAAATCTTTCGGTTCTTCGACTAAAATATATGAACTATAAAAAAAAAGTAAATATAGCTCGTTGGTCCCCGTACACGGGATAGAAACGATGTTGAAGGAATTCGAAGAATAATTTAAAACCCGATAACGGGAGGATTTTACGTTGGCTGAAATTCAAAACCGTTCGAATTATCGTCGCTAAAGTTTCGTCAGATAATGTGATCGCGCGGATTTCCGCGTTATTTAGCGAAGGTACGCGTGTCAGCCGCGAAACTCCGCGCAAGTTCATATATCCCGCCGGTGTTCAAGCGTTCTGTCCTCTTCTGCTTTCCAGGTAAATGCACACAGGGGCGTGAGGTGTCGCGTGTCGCGGGTGTGATTCGTGCGGTGGTGTTTGTGCAACGGGCCAACGGAAGGCCGCTACGGTGGGTTTTCGAGATGAGCTATGAATTTGGGCTGCCTGGTAGCCACAGTCCTCGTGCTTCAGCTGCTTCGGCCTCCGATCGACGTCGCAGCGCTACCCTCAGTCGTCAAGATTGGTGAGTCAATGGAAAAATTACAATGTTTCGTTTAAATTTCTTGCGCCAGGGTAAGAGAACTAATTACAGACAGATTAGCGACTCTGCGGAGTTGTTAAGAAATAATAAGTAAAACTAAGTTGAATTTTTCCGAAACCCCCTGAAACAAGTTTTTATAGAATAATTAAAAATCGATGAAATATCGAGCAAACAAAAAAGGAATAATTTTTTCATTCGATAAAAGTATACTATTTATCTTGAGACTTCTTAGCACTTTCATTTGTATTATTTGACGACCCACAACCAAATTGTCAGGTTCAATGTTAGAAAATAACTAATACAAGCGTCTCAAAACGAGATTTTTCTTTTTCGATCATTATCATTTTCCATGAAAACGATATTTCTCATCACTGATCGTCAATGTGCTGATTTATATTGGGTCACTATAAATCTTGTGATCATTCGATTAAATATGTTACAATTCGTTATAAAATGATGCAGAATGCACGTGCAGAACGTAGTAACTGTCTCGAAACAGAGGGACACGCGTTCGATAAGAAACAACGAAAGAAGGTGGCGAATCACGTTCCATCGTAGCAATGTCCCTTTCTTTCCCAGAAAGTTTAGATCTCGCTACTTCTCGCAAGTTCGCCGGTCCGTGCGTTCTTCGCAAATTGAACTTCTCCCCGAAATTCTAGACACCGCGCCGTCCCGTTACCACCGGTTCTGGACGCGTATAAAAAGAGCACCGAGTTGGTAACGCGAAACGAGCGTGAACGAGGGAAAGGAAAAATAAAGCGTGGACTCCACGAGTCGTTAGTATTCCGGCGTTCACAAAGTTAAGAACGTAATTCGATAAATTGAACTTCTTAATTCAATCCCCTGGGCGAAGTTTCGACCGAGACAGCTTCCTCGCTCCTTTGAGTAATTGTTGAGTAATGGGTTCGTGACCGCGCTCTCAGGGGGCGCAGCTCGAACACTGGAAGTGCAATTACAATCAAAATCGAATATGAACGATGGATACGCCTCCATAGACGTATAATACCTAGACTGCGCATTTCGCCGATAGGCTATCGCATATTAAGAAAGGATAGCATGCTTTCGGTCATGATTTACATTCTTCTTTGGGTCACCAATCTTGTCTTCGTCTGACAATGTTTAGAGTGAGGATTTACGCCCCCACTCTATGGCTCCACTCGAGTGTGTTTTCCGCGGAACGAAACGTCAGGGCTTTCTATGTTATGAATGGTTCATTTCACGCGAAATAGGACACATTTTGGAATAACATTTCGAATTTTAATAAATGTATCTCGACGGATCTCTCGAAATGTTTTGAATTATAAAATCAATAATTAAAATTAATAATTACAGCTAACTACAAAACTAATTACATTACATTACTAATTTTAGTATTGTATTCGTTTTAATATTGTTTTATTAGAAACATTATTCATTCGGCATCTCAAAATTCAAAAATACAGAGGTTAAGATCAAAGTTTATAGGTCGGTTGATCTCGACTTTGTACTGAAGAAAACGGGGCGTCCTTTTCGTTGCATTTCTGTACTTCGATTTCGTGAATCGTGCAAAGTAACGTACGCCCGTAAACAGACAGGTTCCCAAACTTCGTGAAACAACGAGAATACATTGTGAAGTTCGTCGCCCCTATAAAATTCGAAATTTTCCAGACGACCAGCCTGGTCTGACCCGTACACTTCGCGAGCTTACATCGGCAAAAGCTTCTCTCATAATTCCGAGTCCGTGTCGAATTCCGCCGGAATTCACAGCGGCCAAATCGCGAACATCATTTCTCGAAGGGCATAAGAGAACCTTGCACGTTCTGTTCGGGATGTTATTGAGAAAACACAGTTCGCCTAACCCAGACGGGCAATACTTATCATTCGAATCCTGCGTCAGCTACCGACAACCTTGTCGAACTCGTCAATCAATATCTTCTATTTCAATTTTCAAATCTGAAAATAATATTCCAAGAATAATATAATACTTCGATAACTTTCTGGCACACGATGAATACCATTTACTAAATCGTCGTAGTATTTTGGAAATTTCAAGGGTCCTCAGCGAATAGAATTCGTGGAACAGGTTGTCCATGCGTCGTTTCACGTCCCGACTGCGACCGGGGAGGCATCGTTTTCACGGTCGTTTCTTTCGACGAGCATTCGAGAGCTAGCCTGTTGCGATGCCAAATTGGCCGCGCAATTTGCATTACTCCTGCCGCCACTCGAGAGAGAGAGAGAGAGAGAGAGAGAGAGAGAGAGAACAGGGTAACATTTCAAAGGGTCGCGCTTCGACACTTGCCGCAACAGCGTCGAAGTCCCTGGGTCACTGGGAGGTTCGGTTAATGGACGCGCCGTAAGTCATTCGATAATGAACATTACTCCCCGCATTTCCCAGGAGCCCGTTCGTCGCCCGCCGTTCCGCTTCAATTAACCTGGCCGAGCGCAATTTTAAACTTCCGTGAAACGTAGAACGTAGCTTTTTTAATTTCGACCTGCTGATTAATTGCGTTCCGTTGGAAACGTGTGTTATAAATTCCTATTTAAAGGAACGATGAGACTACGGGGTTGGTATACAAATGAAAATTGGATACTTTCCTTCGTTCCCCAAGTTTTCGTCTTGCGAAGTAATCGACGGAAGCGGCGCGTCGCATGAATACATTATCACTGATAGGCCCAGGGATCTGCACGTTTCACGCCGCTCTTAGGCAGCCTCTGTAACTTTTGACTACCTCAGAAATGATATTACTGGGCTGCCAGAACTTTTGCCAGGAACCTAGCTCGTGATACCTTTCACACTATTTTCACGATCACTCTCGGACGTGGCTGATAGCAAATGAACAGTGAAGAAGCACTCACGTCCGTTGCTCCCGAAAGATTTCCCCTTTAAAGGAAGGGAAAATGGTCGGTGGAGCGGAATTTAGTGGGACAATAGGGACGGGCGATGAAACACTGCACTTTTTTCCTCGTACTCTCCTCGATCATCTAGTATTTATTACAACACGACCGGGGATCTTTGCCATGAATGAACCTCGACTTTCCTGAGAGCAAATTTGTATAGCCTTCCTGTACCCTTTGGTAATTCAATTCAGAGGGGAGTTGAGTATAATTAATACCTCTTATTATACGAAGGGATAACGAGCCAAGACGAATTGGTATCGAACAATGAATTTCAACCGAGTTCCTCCACTTTATTCTTCGTTCCAATTATGGATGTTGTCGGGGCATGGACAAACGAAAAGCATCTTTTGTATTTTTGAATCCTTTCATGACACACTCATTTCATAAATTCAGTTATGATACATAATGTATGAAGGTCTTGTTGTTTCATTCTACTACGCGTTCTCGAGAATCTTATCAATCAGGCTTCATTAGTCTACAATCTCGTCCAACATTGGTTTTCTTTTGAAACTCTGAAATTTTCATATTCTCAGACTATTTCATCGAATTCCCCTTCGTATGACTCTTTCTCGCGCTATTCGCGTCCCTTCTAAAAATGTATCGACGCGTACAATCGACACGATTCACCCACGCGACAAAGGGAATGTGAGCAGGAGTCACTTGGCGCATCGCGGAGAATCATTTTTTCCCGTCTGCGAGTGCGAAATCGAGGTGAGGGCACTCGGAGAGATCGCGTTTGTCGGTTCTCGAGGATCCGCCACCTCACCCGCCCCTCTTTCATCCCCTCGGCTGGACGAGTGACGGGCAAAAGAGGGTGAATAAATGGACTAAGTTCGGCGACAAAGAAGAGCCGCGCGGTTAGTCCCCACTTGCTCGGGTGCTTGTTCCAAAATCTTCGTCGGTCTTTGTCTTTTGTTGGCCCTGCTCCTCGCGGAACCCGTCTCGAGCACGAACCTTTCTGCTTCTCGACGATCGTTCGCGCGATTGAAAGTACCTCCGACAGAGAAATAAAACTGTATACGGGGGCATGAATAAATCGATAAATAAATTCTTTACATTGCGAGTACTCTGTCGGAGCATAAACTTTAATATGTATGGACTTTTATTCACTTTTGCATCGCGATATTCCCTGAACCACAAAAGATTCATAGTCTGTAAAGTTATCGTAGCGTAACATAACGTTTCCTACTCTGTGAAATACATGGAGCAGTTATCGTTGACTTGCATCCCTTAAACCCAGGACTCTGAGGGAAACAATTTCAGTGGTGTACTACCGTGGTAGGGTTTTTCTTTTCTATATTGGGGGGTCGTGTGAGGTTCGCAGTGATATTAGAAGGCACAGAAAATACAGCAGAAATTGTAAAGAAGATGGGGAGTACGGACAATGTGAATGTCACAGCGAAGGATTCTCCGTCCTCTCGGTGACTTCCGGTCCCGCGTCAGTATCCGTCTGCTTGGTCGACGGGCTTCTGCTGTCTGTACCTAACAGCAGACTCGGGTCCACGGTAATTCAATGGGAGGACGGCAGAGAAAGAGAACCAGGAACTGGTGGGAAGGACAAGCAAGAAATCGAGAAAGGGTGGGATCAGAAAAGAAGGGCCGAGAAGAGGGTGGTTCCGACTCCGTGGCGCCCGGAACAACGGTGCGCCGCGTATTCTGCCGGGAATTCCCCTTTCGGATTCTCCACCATAATACATAGACGATAGATATATCATTTCTCGTCCCGCGGTAAATTTATCTGTTTGTAGTCTCGATCGTTCCTTCGGTTCAAGTTCAAAAGAATCATCGCGCAATTCAGAGGAGATTACGTTTAGAAAAATGCACGGAAAGAATTGAAATTTTGCACTTTCCATCCGTCATACATTATTCCAATAACCAACCGTAGGAAAGACCTTCTTCAACATCCGAGCTCTCCATGATTCGTTGACTAAAGAAGACTGTCTTCAGGACACCGAGCCCACGAATTTGAATACTGTGTTAGTTTCAGTGGTATTACATAAGTTCGTAAAATTTCGAGCATTCCGTAGCCCCGAACGTTCGCGGAAGTTCACCGGCCGAGGAACTTCGATTGCTTTTGTAGAATTATTTAAGCAATTCTACCCTCG